CATGATTCAAAAGCTGCTATGGTTAAGATGTGATTTGGAAAAACATGGCTTTTCAGTATTTCCTATTGTCACATACTTTCTAGGAACGGGACCTCAGTGACAAAAACAGTAATTCATACAGCTCTCTAGTCTTTCTACTGAGAATGTAAGTAAAATGCAACAATTAGTGCCAATTTTACTTTTATCTCTTTTCCTTCTCCCACAACAGGCAACTATTCATCATGTTACAAATGCATAAAATTAATTCATTTCACTTATGTCTCTCTCTGGGCTTTCCACCTAAATTTATACTGTTTATAGCAAACAACTAATATTGAAAAAAAGGAAAAAAGAGTTAGAAAGTCAGCAGTTTGTATTGTTGGTTGGTTTTGCATTGGTTTTTTTTTGATTCTTTTGGTTTTTTTTTAACATCTACACAAAAGAAAGAGAAATAGATTGAATCACAGCTGACAACCAGATGTATATAACACGAGTTTTCAAAGACAATCTCATGGAAAAGTTATTGCCTGCTTTTCCAGAAGTAATCCCGTTCTCTGCAGCTGGCAATAGGTGAGTCTAAGGTCTCAGTAGCCTCAGAAAAAATCAGCTGTTTCTTTCTCTCCCCATCTCTTCTGAATTCAACACCATGGGACATATTATTAAATGATGGCTAACAACAAAGAAAATTTTTTTTAAAAGTTTGACAACTTATTACTTACTGTGATGGATTTTCAAGAAAGGGAAAATGGATGACCCGGGGAATTACAGACCAGTCAGTCTCACCTCTGTGCCTGGAGCAGATTGGAGCAGATTCTCCAGGAAGGCATGCTAAGGCACATGAAAAACAACAAGGTGCTTGGTGACAGCCAGCATGGCTTCACTAAGGGGAAGTCCTGCCTGACCAATTTGGTGGCCTTCTATGATGGGGCTACAGAACTGATGGACAGGGGTAGAGCAGTTGATGTCATCTACCTGGACTTGTGCAAAGCGTTCAACACTGTCCCACATGACATCCTTGTCTCTAAATTGGAGAGACATCAATTTGATGGATGGACCACTCAGTGGATAAAGAACTGGCTGGATGGCCACACACAAAGAGTTGTGGTCAATGGCTCAATGTCCAGCTGGAGACCAGTAACGAGTGGTGTCCCTCAGGGATCGGTGTTGGGAATGGTCTTGTTCAACATCTTTGTCGCTGACATGGACAGTGGGATTGAGTGCGCCATCAGCAAGTTTGCTGATGACACCAAGCTGTGTGGTTTGGTTGATACGCTGGAGGGAAGGAATGCCATCCAGAGGGACCTTGACACACTTGTGAGGTGGGCTGATGCCAACCTTATGAAGTTTAACCATGCCAAGTGCAAGGTCCTACACCTGGGTCAGAGCAATCCCAGGCACAGCCACAGGTTGGGCAGAGAAGAGATTCAGAGCAGCCCTGTGGAGAAGGACTTGGGGGTGCTGGTCAATGAGAAAATGAACATGAGCTGGCTTCAGTGTCCGCTCGCAGCCCAGAAAGCCAACTGTATCCTGGGCTGCATTAAAAGGAGTGTGACCAGCAGGTCGAAGGAGGTGATCCTGCCCTTTTACTCTGCTCTTGTGAGACCTCACCTGGAGTATTGTGTGCAGTTCTGGTGTCTTCAACATAAAAAGGACATGGAACTGTTGGAACAAGTGCAGAGGAGGGCCATGAGGATGATCAGGGGACTGGAGCACCTCCTGTATGAAGACAGGCTGAGGAAGTTGGGGCTGTTCAGCTTGGAGAAGGCTGCATGGAGACCTCATAGCAGCCTTCCAGTATCTGAAGGGGGCCTATAGGGATGCTGGAGAGGGACTCTTCATTAGAGACTGTAGTGACAGGACAAGGGGTAATGGGGAAACAGGGGAAATTTAGGTTGGATATAAGAAGGAAATTCTTTCCTGTTAGGGTGGTGAGACACTGGAATGGGCTGCCCAGGGAGGTTGTGAATGCTCCATTCCTGGCAGTGTTCATGACCAGGTTGGACAAGGCCTTGGGTGATATGATTTAGGGTAAGGTGTCCCTGCCAGTGGCAGGGGGATTGGAACTAGATGATCTTAAGGTCCTTTCCAACCCTAACGATTCTATGATTCTATGAGTCTATGATTTTCTATACCACTGCATACGTTAAAGATGAGATGTTATTATGAAAGTTACATACAATTAAAGTTAGATACAAACAAGAATTAGCTGAAAAAATTTCTACTGTGCCAGACAGTTACAAGATAATTATGATCTCTGTTGGCATATACACTATTACAGGTCTTAAAAGATGCTGCAATGCATGTGTCCTACAAAACGTGTTTTGGCTTTTAGGGCTCAGACTGATGACCAAATGCATATCTGGAATTTATCAAGGGCTCCACTTTTACATGCAGACAGTTAACATGAATCAGCTGCTGTGAAATATCTGGGTGAATGATTAGTATCTGTATTATCAATCCAATTATTTATCAATAATGATAGCAGTTTTGTTGAAGGAATAATTGTACATCATTATTATTAAGAATAAAATGCCAAATATGGAGAGCAAATGTGGACAATTAAAAGTTGTTGGCATTTTAAATATATATATTTTGAATATTATACACACTTTGCCACAAAGTGGGACGAACTTAATATGAGCTGGCTCCTAGGTTGCCCTTTTTTGCAGTACCATTTTTTCTATCTGTTGAACTGCCTGTTCTTTCTAGGTCTCAATCTTTCAAGGACTTCTGCATGAACATAATTTGTTGCATTGTCAATAGTCTTCACTTTGGTGGAGTTTTACCAGAACTGTTGCATCTAATGGTAAAGTCTTCCAGGCATTTTGGCAATTTGCAGGACTTCATTTTATTTGAACCCTACATGAGCATGAAATCTACATAACATGAAGAGGAAGTCCAGACAACTCTCTTACTCTCTTGCCCAAATTGAACATGCACACAAATTCTCAGAATCATGGAAATAACACCTGTGGGGAGAAGCATCCTGTGCTTCTACAGGTTAACACTTGGTGTTCAGGAGTGTTAAGAGATATTTCAACCTTCTTTAAGAATTTTATTTTCACTTCTGAGAGACAAAGAAAGGCAATATGTATTTCAAATTCAATTTTGTATTCTATCCCAAAATCACAACAATGAATTCAGATACTCTTATCTTCTGAACAGATGAACCCCCAGTAACTGTAGAATTAGAAGAAATTTCTCTCTGATTTAGTGCCGTGTTGGCTTGGGCCTCTCCTCAGAACATGGTGCTCTAACCTCTCTCTAAATCCCTTCTTTGGGGTGCTTTTTGCGGTAAAAGGTAAAAGTAGCACAGAGGTGGGGACTAATTTTTGTATTTTCCATTGTTATCATTACAAACTTGCAAAAAAATAATCGAAATACATTACAAGGAAACTTCCGGGAAGAGGCTAAGTTTATTTGCTCAGATTAGATTTTCCAAATGGAATCCAGGTTAGTAACAAAGACACATACAGTGGTTATGTGGAGGTAACGTGGATTTACACAGTGGTCACAAATCCACTCATCTGGAAACAAACCCAAACTCAAAACATAATCATAACACTTCCTCATAAGCAGACATCCCCAAATATCATAAAATTGCTAGCACAGTTATTAAGACCATGACAAGAATTATAAAAGTGCGATATATTATTCTGTGGCAACTACTATTAAAATAATTGAAAATCTTCAATTTGCTTCCTGGATTTTTTGCTTTCAAGTTTGCTCCTCAACCACAATGGTATGTGACATCTTTTTTAATCTTAAAGTTGAGATTTTCTGATAATCTCTTCTTTATGATAGTGCACAATCCAGAAAAACAGCTCAATAAGAGAAGTTACAAAGTGGAGCAACTAAAGGTAATAACAGAAGTGACTAAATTTGATAATGAATTTGTACATTTCAAAGCATGCAGACTAAGAGTACCCTGCATTTAACCAGAATTCATTTATTTTTTTTATAATTTTGAGCTGGTAGAAAGTAGAAATGGCAAGAAAATCATTCAAAATATACTGAACCACACCAACGTTACAGTCATGCTATGGAAACAGACATGTCTTGGTCCTGCTTACTCTGATTTATTGAGCTTCTCTGTTAATAACTGACACTCTTCCTTTTTTTTGCTAACTTTAATTAGCACTTCATGACCTGAAGTACTTTTTGATTAGCAGTTAATACAAAAATTTGGAAGCTACTAATAAATACATGGTAAAATTAACTCTTAAATGGCTATTTTGCATGGCATACTGTTGTGAACAAATTAAAAAAAGAATGAAGAGACAATGAATATATAGTTCTGAAGGAAAACAGGAAGCGAGAATGTTAGTAAACGTCATAAAGTTTGAAAGACAGAAGCTGAAAGGGAAAAGGTGCATGAAAAGTGAACTTTGGATTCAGAAGTGACAGATACCTTTAATATGCATAATGGTCTAAATTTTATTAAGGAATGGTGTTTTTTTCAGAATATCTCACATTTCAAAATAAGTTTTTAAAAAGTTAATAATTTTAATATATGGACCGTATAACTGTTTAAGTGGTTATAAGACTATGGAGACAATAGCTGTCATGCACCAGTCCGAGTAATGATTTATAGTTAGACTAAAAATGTGATTTTTTTCTATTTTATGAATTTGATTTAATTTCTGTTATTAAAGAAGCAGAAAATTTTATTTTAAAAGAAACAATCAATTATGAATAGACAATATTTAAAATGGTTTCTGACTGAATGATCAGTGAAAACAAAATACTAAACCAGCTACCTTCCAATGAAACATTTAACTCCTGCATGCCTTTTAGTATAGATCTTGGTTAGTCAATAGAGGCAAAACATATGTCTTATTATTTTTTAAGAAGGGAGATATCTACAACTGCTGACTTTATTGACTAATAACTTCTTTTTCTAATCTTAGCTATAGGATATAATTATAATGTTGAAACAGGATGTTTGTGCTTAACATAAATTATATTGTATGGTAGCTGAATTTATCAATATCCAGAGAAATACAGAGATTCCTACTTACCCAACAGACAGGAAGGGCTCCTTTGATTCAAGTCTGTCAAGCAAATAACAGAAGTTTTAATATATATATATACACATATTTATTGTATTTCAGAACATTTATAAGAGTAATTTAAAACAGCCACTCTCAGTACCAAGTTTACTTGGTGACCAATACACAAATTAACCACAATTGAAGGGACTGATCCATTATGCTAGGAGCTTGCCTTGAAAAAAATCCCATTTACTTAACTGAACTTTGGCTTAGAAATCAAGTATTTACAAAACAGCACATCTAGGCCCTTTAAATTTAACAGATTCAGTTGACTTGTGTAGGTATTTATATGGAAAGGCTAGAGCAAATAAGTAATAATTTGACCTTTTTTTTCCATTTTTCTTTTTTTTTTTTCCATCTGTGGACATAATTTAGGTGATTTAGGGAAGATATTTATCTATTTTAACTTTAAACATAAAATTTAGTATGGGTATAAGAACTCTCATGATTAGAGGTCTTTCACATCCATCTTGCTTGCTTTACAACATCCTCCATTTGTATGACATGGTTATTTTGTCATGAGAGCTTCTGGCACATCTGCTACATTCAGCCTTGTGCTGGAGCAGGATGCTACTGGTTTGGTAGGCACAGAATCATGCTCAGTTCTAAACCCAGCTGTCGAAGTGCTGATCTCCAACTCCTGTCCCTATCTATGTGAGGAGCTGCATCACTTGCACACTGGCAGAAGCCTCTTCTATGACTAATTTTCATCCAACCAGGATAGATTTCCAACATCCTCATCTATGTTATTGCACTGTAATTCTGCTCCAGTACCTAGAACCAGCTGTCCTAATTTTGTAGTGTGTCTTGGCTGCAATCAGTGCACTAATTTTTGTATTTTCAGCTGTATTTTTGTATTAGTAGCTGCCTATTTGGACCATTAACATGTGACTTTAGAGTCCTTTATAAACATACATAAAGCAAACTTACAACTCTATTCTGAGAGGTTACATGACACGAGAATGATGCAAAAGCTCTCTATTGTACTAATTTTCACTGCATACTGTTAGGAAGAACACTCCGAGGCAAATAATGTCTCTTTGTAGCCTTTAAAAAGTGTTTCTAACAAAGCAAAGTGTGTCATACCTAAAATGAAACATTTCATGTATGATGACCCCTCTCATCTGAAACCAATTGAGTGCCATGACAAAATATCTGAAATAGAACTGTAAAGCAAGAGTAATTGTAAACAAAAGTACTATAAGTAAGTTGCCAGAGTTTTAAGAATGAGCCTTTCCTGCAAGTCTTTTTTGTATAAAACTAACAAGTACATTCACAGTTATTCATTTAGCCAATGCTTTGTCCAAGCATCTCACAAACCAATAGACCAGTTTAGTTATTGCCATCTATCCAGAAGGGTGTTTAGAAAAGGTGAACTTGTCCCTGAGCTTTTGAAATTGTTATATGATTTTGTCTTTAATTGAAAAATACTGCATGTCATCTTTTTGCAAAGCATTTACTTCTTTTCCAGAATCATTAGTGGAAATAATTTAAAAGCCTGTCTTCATTTACAGTGTCATCTTCTGATGTACTTCAAACCTAATTTTCTGGGGTTACATTTCCAGCTGTAAGGACAGCTAGCATAAGGCTTGAGGAAATAGCAAAATGTATTTGAAACATAGTAACTTTCCTGTTGTTTTCATGGCTATACCTCACCTTCCCATTTCTTTCTGGGGTTGTGATCCACACAGAAGTAAAAGAATAGAAGAGGGGATCACTAATGTCCTTGAATGCAGCTGGAAGCACAGTGGAAGCTGAAAGTTCAGCAGCCCTGCTTTCAGGAGGAAGCTTCTCCAGGGCAGGTCCAGTACTGTCACAAGCACTTTCCCTCCCAGACTGCCATGCCGTACACCAAAACCCTCACAATACCAAGAAAATGCTTAGCTTGACATTCTCTGTGCCTAGGCAGTACTGACGGACAGCAATAACGTGATGGGGCCCTTCATGTGCTGGGTTGCATCCTCCTCCTGCAGGTTCTGTGCAGCCACAAAGCCAGCTTCATGGACCAGCTTTCCCTGTTGCGGATCACATGATTACAGGAAAGCATCTGCACCATCTTTGCAGATTCTTTCAAGTGTGTGAGGAAAAACCCAACCACTGCTACTGTTTTGTTTCTTGCTTTTCTGTTTACTGAAATGAACCAGACCTGTGAAGTATTCAGTGTTTGGCTCAAGAGATTAGCTATAAGCAAAATGAGCAAATAATAAAAGTCTCAGAACATATTTACACACTTCATAATACAGAAATTTTGCAATAAGGAGAGACCTGGCACTATCCTGATGGAAAACATTCTGGTAGATTTTATTTGCAAACAAAAATATGTGATAGAATGCCCTGTGGACAAAATATCACAATTAAAAATCTATTTGAAATCCATTCTCAAGATGGAATTCAATTTGATTTAAATAGTGCTGCCCTAGGTTTGACCCCTCTTAGTATATTTGACTACATGGTTTTAGATAATTTTCTGCATTACTTTAAATTAGTTCAAGTGTTCCTTATAGTAAAGGAATACAATTACCTGTTGTACTTTTATTTAAATTGGTAATTCAGAATATGGCAAATGAATATAAAGGTTTTAAAACCGCAACAACACATAAAATAGCATCCTCTCTTATCTTTACCAATGATGTTTATCTCTATATAATAATTTTTTTTTAATCTTTCTTTTCTAGCCTGCAGTACAATAAATTCTCCAGGGTTCTGAGGAAGTCTTGCATAATTATCTATATAATATCTCACAAAGAGTAATCCTGATAAGCTGTGAGAAGGGCTGTCATATATCTTCAGAAAAAAATGTTACAACAGACATTTTCTTTCTTGAAAAAAAATTATTGAGCGTATAAGAAATATGGGGTTGGACAGTAAACAAAGGGAGTAATATTTTAATTATGGAACTAGATGATCTTGAGGTCCTTTCCAACCCTAACTATTCTATGATTCTATGTAGGACTGGTAATGAAGCTGGAATGATCAGGATTTTTATTTTTTTCTTCAAATTGTTTTCCTATCAGAAAATTGCAGCTTGTCAGATGTCAAGACAATAAAGCAGTTTGTATAAGAGGGAATCAGGCTGATAGGCAGCATGACTGGAACGGGGCAATCTGAAGCGTGCTTCACTTTGATTCTGAGCTAAGATTTTCTGAAAGGTCTGACTTTCTTATTTACATGTAACAGGTAAGTTTTTGCAGGAAGAAAAAGGATTTTTTCACAATGTAAATTGCTCAATTAAAATCAGTCACTGTAAACCAAACAGGCACAGGCAAATCGATTCATACCCATTGATATGCCTCAATACTGTCACAACTCTGTGTTTAAAATAAGGACCCTGGAAATTTCCCATTTAGTATTTTACCGCTGGCAACCTGCTTTGGAGAGACATCTTACAAGAGCTGATTAATGTAACTGTTTATTTCATGATTTTCTTTGCTGCTAAATTTACTTATATTAATGCCATTTATCTCAATCCCATTTTTGACATGGACTGAACATTTGGTGGACAAATTTTTCAAGGTTTGCAGACAAACATGCAAGCAAATGTGACTAGATCAAAGGCATGTGGATTCCTCTTTGAATTATAAACAAATAATTTGAGGACAGAAAGATCCAAAAGTAAACTTCACTTTTCTTGCATAATTGTCTTATTAAGATGACAGGCAAGATGGCTTTTTATATCTGAGGCCTGACCCAGCATACATAAATCATTATAATCTCTTGTAAAGAATCCTTGCCTCTCCTTCCCAAAACATATTTACAGGACAAAGTGGATAACATTTCTAACAATATCAGCACTGTACACAAGCAAGTATTTTCTAAGGTTTTTTAGCCAAGTATTTTCTAAGATAACTCAATATATTCTTCCTTGTGGTGATCATACAGTTTCATTTCTAAGGAGTTAGTAAGAAAAACATGGAATTCAAGGCATTTTTTGGGTTTCCTATTCTGAGTTTTCAATATAATAAAACTGTCTACCCTGAATCAGGGAAAGTGATGGTAAGGAGCCAGGCTTTCTTTTTAGATGACTCACCATTTTGGGTTACAATCTTCAAATCAGAATTCCCAAGGATAACTTGAGTGTGTTGCTAATGTCACTCTTTTTTTTTTCTGACTGTAAAAGCCATGAATAGTGACTGCAGTTTCCAGTGGGATTGGAAGAGTTAATACCTCTAACAGTAATCCAGAGGATTCAAGCTTTTCATTCAAGCCATGTAGGAAAGGCAGACCAATTAAAAAAGCATTTTGGAATTCAGTCACTGGATGCATTGGCTGTGTACTGTTATTGTGGTTTTGTATGATTGATGTGGCTGACCTATTTACCTGTCAAGCATGTCTATCTCTGCACTATACAGCTTTAGGAACCAAAGATGTATCAAAAATATGTGAAGTCAAAGAATATTCAGATTATGACTCACCTGGCTTGTCAATATATTTAATTAATAATAATTGATAATAATCTTTAGCCATCAGTTAGTAGAGTATGAATGAATAGTCTGTTCAGAATTATCTGAAAAAATTTATAGTTGAAAACCGGAAAAAAATGATACCTTAAAATACAGGGAGGAAGTGCTTTAAAGAGACTGCCTCTTGCCTGTGCAAACTTTCACAGCAGCAAGAGGATAAGATGAAACATAAATCAGCATATGCAATAGTTGGGTTTGATATATCAGTAAAAATGTCATGTTGGATACTGGGTACACTACTCTTATAATACATAGGATAGAAAGGTTTTGAGGTTGTGGTAGGAAAGGCAGGCATGGATAAGAACAGTAAAGGAAGTAGTTTCCAATAATGCTCATTAATATGTTGCCTAAAAAAAGCAAGAAGACGTGAAAACACAAAATCTTCAAATCATTTGAATTGTTTAATACAATATTATCAGAGAGCTAGAACTAAAAGCTAGTATCCCATACATCTAAGAAAGTTTCAGTAACTGATTTTAGTTTGAACTTGGCTTTACTGTATTTTCCCTTTATAAATCCATGAATCAAAAAGACAGTGGC